GGCTGAGGCAGGAGAATCACTTGAACCTGGGAGGCAGAGGTTGCTGTGAGCTGAGATCACGCCACTGCACTGGTCCAGCATGGGTGACAGAGTGAAACTCCATCACAAAAAAAAAAGAAAGCAACCGGGCTCACGCCTGTAATCCCAGCACTTTGGGAGGCTGAGGCGGGTGGATCACGAGGTCAAGAGATCGAGACCATCCTGGTCAACATGGTGAAACCCGGTCTCAACTAAAAATACAAAAAATTAGCTGGGCATGGTGGCACGTGCCTGTAATCCCAGCTACTCAGGAGGCTGAGGCAGGAGAATTGCCTGAACCCAGGAAGCGGAGGTTGCGGTGAGCCAAGATAGCGCCATTGCACTCCAGCCTAGGTAACAAGAGCGAAACTCCATCTCAGAAAATAAATAAATAAATAAATAAATAATAAAATTTAAAAAAATAAAGGAAACAAAAACAAACAAACAAAAATAGCTGGGCATGGTGGCACGTACCTGTAATCCCAGCTACTAGGAAGGTTGAGGCAGGAGAATCACTTGAATCCAGGAGGTGGAGGTTGCAGTGAGCTGAGAATACACCACTGCACTACAGCCTGGGTGACAGAGCAAGACTTCGTCTCAAAAAATAAGTAAATACGCCGGGTGTGGTGGCTCACTTGAGGTGAGAAGTTCAAGAACAGACCGATGAATATGATAAAACCCCATCTTTACTAAAAATACAAAAAATTAGCCAGGCCTGGGGGGCACCTGTAATCCCAGCTACTTGGGAGGCTAAGGCAGGAGAACTGCTTGAACCCAGAAGTGGAGGTTGCAGTGAGCTGAGCCTGTGCCACTGCACCTCCAGCCTGCACCAAAAGGGCAAAACTCTGTCTAAAAAAAAAAAAAAAAAAAAAAAAAAAAAAAAATAAAAAAAAAAAAAAAAAAAAAAAAAGAAAACAAAAGATATAGAATACTGCCAGCATCTCAAAATGGTAATCTAGTCTTGCCCCGTCACCCAGGGCAGAGTGTAGTGGCACAATCTCAGCTCTCAGTAACCTGTGCCTTCTCCTGGTGCCTCAGCCTCCGGAGTAGCTGGGATTATAGGCGCACACCACCACACCTAGCTATTTTTTTGTATTTTAGTAGATACAGGGTTTCACCATGTTGGCCAGGCTGGTCTCCAACTCCTGGGCTCAAGTAATCCATCCACCTTGGCCTCCCCTAGTGCTGGGATTACAGGCATGAGGCACCACACCCGGACACCAAATCAAGACTTTAAGGTAGATGCCTAATGATCTCAATGATACCAATTTACACTTTTACCCATATTTAAAAGTTCCTGGTGCTTCACATACATACCAACATCTGGACGTAGAGTAACATCTCACTGTGGCTTTAATATGCATTTCCCTAAAGACTAATGTAGTTGAATACTTTTTTATTTGGTTGTTCATGGAGATCATCTTTGAGAAACTTTTACACTTCTTTTTTTTTTTTTTTTTTTTTTTTTTTTTTTTTTTTTTTTTTTTTTTTTTTTTTTTTTTTTTTTTTTTTTTTTTTTTTTTTTTTTTTTTTTTTTTGAGACAGAGTCTTGCTGTGTCGGCCAGGCTGCAATGCACTGTCTTGACCTCGGCTCACTGCAATCTCTGCCTCCTGGGTTCAAGAGATTTTCCTGCCTCAGCCTCCTGAGTAGCTAGGACTACAGGCGCCCACCACCACACCCGGGTGATTTTTGTATTATTAGTAGAGACGGGGTTTCACCATGTTGGCCAGGCTGGTGATCCTCAGGTGATCCTCCTGTCTCGCCTCCCAAAGTGCTCAGGTTACATGCATGGGCCACTGCATCTGGCCTTGAAGTTGGGGTTTCTTTCCCACCAGATGACACCACTCCAAGGAGATGGTGGCAGGGCCCGACGCACCCCTGGGACCACAGCAGAGCTTCTGGAACCTTTCCTGTGACTGGCCAAGGTGCCAGGTGCCATCCTAATTGCTGACACAACCCTCTGGGGTAGGTACCAATACAATTCCATTATGGAGACGGGGAAACTGAGGCACAGAGAGGCATGCAGCCTGCCCTCACTCAGGGTGGGTGAGCCAGGGCTGCAGCCCAGTCTGAAGTTAGAACCCATGCTCTTCACCCCTGTTCCACCGGGGCCTCTGGGCTTGGTTCTGGTCTCCACCGAGCATGATACCTTGCAACTCTCCCTCACAGCTTGGAGCAAGACTAAGATCCCAATTCCTACCACTCCCTCGGCTCTGAAGAGCACCCTGGCACCCTCCATTGTCACTGCCCTTCTAGGAGGTCACTGGGTGACCCCTTATTTCCCAGGAGCGAAGGGCAAAGAGATGATATGTAGACATCTACGTTTTGTTCTTTTTTTTTTTTTTTTTAGATGGAGTCTCGCTCTGTTGCCCAGGCTGGAGTGCAGTGGCACAATCTCAGCTCACTGCAACCTCTGCTTCCCAGGTTCAAGTCGATTCTCCTGCCTCAGACTCCCAAGTAGCTGGGATTACAGGCACCTGCCACCAAACATGGCTGATTTTTGTATTTTTGGTGGAGACGGGGTTTCACCATGTTGGCCAGGCTGGTCTTGAACTCCTGACCTCAGATGATCCAACCCACCTCGGTCTCCCAAAGGGCTGGGATTACAGGCATGAGACACTGCACCTGGCCCATGTCCTGAGGTTTCTGCTGCTGTCTGCCAGTGGTGAAGTAAACAGAACGATGGTGCTAATGCTCAAAGTGGCCCGGGACTGGGTAGAGAGGGGAGGCCAGGAAAGCGGTGGGGCTGCAGGGGCCGTACCTTCAGGCGGCGCTCGTTGGCTGTGTGGATGTCCTCATCATTGGGGTTGAGTTTGAAGGTGCCCTGGGCCCACTCCTCAGCCACCTATAGCAGGTAGCAGCAATGCCAGGGGTCAGGTGAGCAGGTGTCAGCAGCCAGAACCCCTGCCCTGGTCCCACCCGATCC